GATGCAGCAAAAGCAGTTCTTATGGGAAGTTTCATAGCTCTAAATGCTTGCATAAAAAAAAATAGAAAAATAAGAAATCAATGAATTGGGCACACAACTAAAAAAAATAGAAAAAGAAATAATTAAAAATCCTCAATTAAACACCAGATTAGAAATATTGAAAACCAAAAGAAAAATTAATGAAACTTAAATTAAGAAAACTATTGAACTAACAAAACTGAGCTGGTTTTATGAAAATACAAATAAAATGGTTAAAACTTTGGCTAATTTAATTTATTTTGGGGGGCATGTTAAATTTTATTTTATTTTATTTAAATGTAAATTTATTTCTTTTTAGTTTTCAATATTTACTTCCCCAAGATTTTTAGTTCTAAATTTTCACCCCATCTCACCCCTCCTCCCACCCCAAGATGCAATGCATTCTGAATACCCCTTACCCTAGTTTGTCCTGTCTTCTATCTCTCCCCCCCTTCTCTTATCCCCTTCCCCTTCTATTTTCCTGTAGGGCAGGATAGACTTCTGTACCCCATTTCCTGTATTTCTTATTTCCCAGTAGCATGTGAAAACATTTTTTTAAACATATGTTTTTAAAACTTTAGGTTTCAAATTTTCTCCCTTCCTCCCTCCACACCCACCTTCATTGAACAGCCAAGCAGTTCAATAAAAGTTATACATATGCAATTATACAAAACACTTCCATAGTAGACATGTTGTGAAAAACTAACTCTTTTTCCCTTAATCCTATCCTGCCTTCTCATTTATAATATTCTTTCTTTTGACCCTATACCCCCTCAGAAATATTTGCTTCTGATAAACCCCCTTTCCCAATCTGCCCTCCTCTCTATCATCCCCTTGCTCTCTTGTCCCCTTCTCCCCATATTTTCCCATAGGGTAAGACAGATTTCCATACCCAATTGATTGTGTGTTATTCCCACCTTAAGCCAAATCTGATGAGAATAAGATTCATTCATTCCCTCTCACCTTCCCCCATTTCCCCTCCACTGTAAGAGCCTTTTCTTTTCTGTTTTATTTTTGCGAGATAATTAACCCCATTCTACCTCTCCCTTTCTTCTTCTCCAAGTATAATCCTCTCTCATTCCTTAATTTTATTCTCCAGATATGACCCCTTAATCTTCAACTCACCCTGTGCCCTCTATCTATCCATCCATCTATCTATCTATCTATCTATCTATCTATCTATCTATCTATCTATTTATCTAAGTATCTATACATACATATATTTTTTTTCTCCAACTACCCTAATACTGACAAAGGTCTCATGAGTTATAAATATCATCTCTCCATGCAAGAATGTAAACAGTTTCACCTTAATAAGTCTCTTATGATTTCTCTTTCCTTTTTACCTCTTCATGTTCCACTTGAGTCTTGTATTTGAAAGTCAAATTATCTATTCAGCTTTGGCCTTTTCACCAGGAATGCTTGAAAGTTCTCTATTTCACTGAATAACCATTTTTTCCCCTGAAGGATTATACTCAGTTTTGCTGGTTAGGTGATTCTTGGTTGTAATTCTGTCTCCTTTGCCCTCCTGAATATTATATTCCATGCCCTGTGGTCTTTTAATGTAGAAGCTGTAAATCTTGTGTTACCCTGACCGTGTTGCCATAATACTTGAATTCTTTTTTTTTTCTGGCAGCTTGTAATATTTTCTCCTTGACCTGGGAACTCTGGAATTCGGCTGCAATATTCCTAAGAGTTTTCCTTTGGGGATCTCTTTCAGGAGGAGATTGGTGGATTCTTTCAATTTTTATTTTGCCCTCTGGTTTTAATATATCAGGGCAGTTTTCTTTGATAATTTCTTGAAAGATGATGTCTAGGCTCTATTTTTGATCATGGCTTTCAGATACTCCAACAATTTTTAAATTCTCTCTCATGGATCTATTTTCCAGTTCAGTTGTTTTTCCAAAGAGACATTTCACATTGTCTTCTGCTTTTTCATTCTTTTGGATTTGTTTTACAGTGTCATGATTTCTCATAAAGTCACTATCTTCTAATTGCTCTATTCTAATTTTTAAGGAAGTATTTTCTTCAGTAATCTTTTGGACTTCCTTTTCCAATTTGCAAATTTTTCTTTTTAGGGCATTCTTCTCCTCATTGGCTTTTTGGACCTATTTTGCCATTTGGGTTAGGCTATTTTTTAAGGTGTCATTTTCTTCAGTATTTTTTTGGTCCTCCTTTAGCAAGCTGTTGACTTTTTTTCATGATTTTCTTGGATCACCCTCATTCTCTTCCCAGTTTTTCCTCTACTTCCCTTACTTGCTTCTCAAAATCCCTTTTGAGCTCTTCCAAGGCCTGGGACTGATTCATATTTTTCTTGGAGACTTTGGGTGTAGGAGCTTTGACTTTGTTGTCTTCTTCTGGTTGTATATTTTGATCTTCTTTGTCACCAAAGTAAGATAATATAGTCTGACTCTTTTTGCGCTGCTTAGTCATGATCCCACCCAATTACTTGAGTTTTAAATTCTTTGTCAAGGTAAAAGTCAGCTTCCAATGTTGAGAATGTACTGTCCCATGCTTTGAGGGTTTATGCAGCTGTTTTCAGAGATACTTGTAGGGACCTTTAAATTTTCAGTTCTTCCAAGGTGGTATGATAAGGGGCAAGGTGTTTACTCTTTTCCTGGCCTGTGCTCTGATCTATGAGAAACTGACCACAAGCAGTCTTTTCTGTCTTGGAACTGTGAGGAGGGTTTTCTCTCTACAGCCACTACAATCTCCAACATGCCAGCACTCCTCTTCACCCCAGGACTGCTGCCCAAAACTGTGACCCAGATCCAAGCAGGGGCAAAGCAAGAGATTCCTGTCTCAACACTAGCAAAGAGATCCCTGCAATCCCTCTCTGATCAGCCACTTGATTCCCCCTCAGTCTGTGGTCTGGAAACTCAGGAGGCAGCTGCCCCCCTACCAGGGTCGTGCTCTTGGGGAACTGGATCTGAGACCCCGCATTCCTCTCTGAACACCACAGAAATAGACTTTTCCCATTGATCTTCTAAGTCTTTGGCATTTGTGGATTGAGAAGTCTGGAGACCCCCACAGGTGCCTGTGATTCAGTTCTCTGAGGCCTGATCCAGTTTCACTGCAACCTGCACTCCCATGCCGCCCTGTGCTCCTCTACCAGTCCAGTGAGATATACATTTCTGATCAATCATCCAAGTTGTCTTAGGGCAGAAATTTGTTTCACTCTGTCTTTTTGTGGGTTCCTCTCTGGTTAATTTAATTTGAAAAAAAAAAGAAGAAAACCAAATTACTAGTTTCAAGAATGTTCTGATAATTTTCTTTTTTTTTTTAATTTTGTGGAAGTAGGGAGTGGAAATGATGACTTCTATGCATATATGGTATGGAAAATATCTGAGTAAGATCTTTATCAGTGGTATTGTAGGCAGAGTTTTTAAGCAAAAAGCAAGTAAATATCATTTGAGATAGTTATTTTATTACTCAGAGAGATATAAAAATGATGGTGGCATATAATGGGAACTAGAATAACAGAATCTGACATGCTCTGAGGTTGGGAGTGATGGCAGCACCCCCTATTCTGACTTCTATTTAAAAATGAAATCCTTCTATTTTATTTCTGACAAGTCATCATGCAGCCTTCACAAAAAGATTAGCAGAGATGAACATCCTACTACCACAAAGAGGAGTATGTCACACTTTTAAATAGTTTAATTGTTAGAAAATGTTTCCTTAAATCAGAACAATTTCTGTTTTTTTGCAACTCCTGCTCTATGAGGTCAACTAACATAAATCTGTCTTTCACATCGCAGTCCTTCAAATACTTGAAGATATTGATTATGACTTAAGTGTTTCTCTTTACAAGGCTAAATATACTTAGTTGATTCAACTAACTCTCCTGTAAAATGGTCTTCAGTCTTACTATTATCCTTCTTTTCCTTTTGTAGGTATATTTTAGATCATCAAATGTCTTCATATATACTTAGTTGACTCAACTGGCTCTCCTATAAAATATAGTCTTCAATCTTACTATTATCCTTCTTTTCCTCTTGTAAATATATTTTAGGTCATCAAATGTCTTCATAATATATGGCCAATAGAGAAGATTACTGTGGAATTTTCACCTTCATCCACCTTTTTGTTCTGTATACCATGCCCCTTTAAGATAGCTTGGAATATCACTAACATTTTTAGATGCTGTAGCAAATAAATGACCCATTTTTTGTTTCATAACAACTCTTGATATATCCTTGTCTGACTCATCACAAGTATATCCATCTCCACTCCACTTTTCCAGTATGTCCAAATATTAGACCTCATCATCACTTACATCTGTCACACAGCTAAATTTTTTAATTCAGAAATTCCCCTCTCTTGTCATAATCTTTTGTTCTGCAACTTTTCCTTTTTGTTGTTGTTGTTCTTTTTCTGTCATTCCAGTTTTTTCTGATTCTTTGTGACTCCATTTGGAGATTTTTGTCAAAGATGTAGGAGTGTAGTTCATTTTACAGATAAGGAAACAGGCAAACAGGGTTAAGTGACTTTTTGTTCCTTTACCCCACCCCATGCAATCCAATCAAGTGATAACTACTTAGTATTTTACCCACAGCTTTGTTTTGTTTTGTTTTGTTTTTTCCATCATCCCTTCTTTCTCACCACCCTGGCTCAATTTAATTCATTGTCTCTCATCTGAACTATCTGTGTTCATACAATTTATTATGTGCAGTACTGTCAGACTAATTTTCATAAAGCCCAGTTTCAATCCCTTTATGTGTTACCCTTCCCCTTTTCAAAAACTTTCAATAGCTTCCTATTGGTGGTGGTGGTTATTTCTTCACCAAGAGGACGAAAATGGCATCACTGTGCTAGAGTCAAGTATAGTGTGTCTGCTTGTGACTGATCAGTATATATGAGGTAAGAATGTAATACTACAGGTCAGGCACAAATAGTTCGTGTGAACATTTGGGGTGGATTCTCTAAATTTGTGCATCTTATGTTTCTTTTGATTTACTCTAATTCTGTTTTGTTCTTAGAGCACAGCATCTTCTCTGATGTGAGTATGCCATGCTAAGCAGTCCAGTGCCAGTGTCCCCCATGTCAAACAATCAGTTCCAAAGTTCTTAAGAGAGACCTTGAGAGTGTCCTTGAATTGCTTCTTCTGACCACCATGTGAATGCTTGCCCTTGGGAATTCTCTATAAAATAGTATTTTTGGCAAGTGTATGTTTTACATTTAAACAATATTCGAACAGTCCATCAGAGTTGCACTCTCTGAAGAAGAGTTTGAATGCTCAGAAGTTTAGTTTCAGAAAGGACCTCAGTGTCTGGTATCTTATTCTTCCAGGTGATCTTCAGAATCTTCCTAAGATAATCCAAACAGAAGCAATTCAGTTTCCTGGCATGATGCTGGTATACTGTCCAGCAGGTATACAACAATGAAGTCAGCACAATGGCTCTGTAGACCTTCATTTTGGTAGTCAGTCTAATACCTCTTCTCTCCCACACTTTCCTTTGGAGTCGCCCAAACACTGAGCTAGCTCTGGCAATGAGTGTGTCAACCTCATTACCAACGTGTACATCCCTACATAGTATACTACCAAGGTAAGTGAATTTATCCACAGCATTCAAAACTTCTCCATTTGATGTAACTGGTGGTTCCACGTATGGATGAAGTGGTGGTGGCTGATAGATCACCTGTGTTTTCTTGGTGTTAATTGTTAGGCCAAAATTAACACAAGCAACAGAAAACTGATCTATACTTTGTTTCATCTAAGTTTCAGAGTCTGCATTGAGTCCACAATCATCTGCAAACAGAAAATCATGCACCAACACTCCCTCCACTTTGGTCTTCCTTGTAGCCTTTTTAAGTTGAAGAATTTATAATCAGTATAGTAGCTGACCTTGATGTCATGTTTGTCCTCATTGAAGCCATTTGACAACATGGTTGAAAACATAATGCTAAAATACATGGGAACAAGCACAAAGCCTTGTTTCACTCCATTAGTGACTGGAAAAGCAAGAGAGCATTGTCCATTATCCAGAACCAGGTCAACCATGACATCATGAAATTGATGTTCAACACTGATGAACTTCTCTGGGCAACCAAATTTTAATATATTTTTTTCCATAAACCTTCATGAATGACAGTATCAAAGGCCTTAGTCAGATCTGCAAACATTGTGTACAGACCTCTGTTCTGCTCCTGGCATTTCCCCTGTAATCATCAAGCACCAAACACCCTACCAACTGTTCCTTGGCCCTTTCTGAAGTCACTCTGGCTTTCAGGTAGATGACCATCTTCCAGGTTAAGGATCAGCCTATTAAGGTGGACTCTGACAAGAATCTTGCCAGCAGTGACTGAGAGAAAAAACCCCACTCTGTCACAGGACAATATTTATTTTACTTTTACTGAGATGTATTTAAATGAGACAAAGTTGAACAAAGTTGTCAGCCTCACTCTCTCCTCCAGAGTCATCACAGCACAGTGGCAGGACAGAATCAAGATGACTGGTGATGGCTCAAGATGTGGTGGATGACCTAGGCATCTTTGATACATAAACAAGCTCTAAGCACTCCACAATGCCTGCTTCAGCTATATTCATGGCCATTGGAACAGATTATACTCATCCACCTATTCCAGCAGGGGATGTCTTCACATGCTTGGGATAGCTGTCCTCCTAATTCACCAATGGGTTTGAGATCCCTTGGTTACCTTCAACTTGATTTAGCTCATCTGCAAAATGGTTTGCCAGGGTGTGGCTTCTGTGCATATTCCAGCTTCTTGGAGCCAGAGGTGAGAATTAGTTGGACCAGATGGACAGCAACCATGAAAAAGTCTTGGCAGCCTTCACACCAGAGGTATTAGTCTTCCCTGATCACATCCTACACCCCAGCTGCTTATTATCTACAAACTAAAAAACAGACTATTCACTGTGGCATGCAGTCTTCCAAAACTGGTTCTAGCTTATCATTGACACCTGAACTACAATTACTCACATATAAACATTTTGTGGTCCAGTCAGTAGTTCATCAATTTCTCTATGTGCCCCATGCTTATCCATTTCCAAACTTTTGCTCACAGTAGTCTGTCTAGTCAAAATCTACTCTCTAACCCTTCCAAAAATTTTTTGTGTCAAAATGTAAGTGACTTTGGGTAGTATTTTAAATCCTATCTGCTTCATGAATCCTCTCTTATTTCTTTTAATCCTACTTGCAATCTCACTTTGTTCAGTCCCCTTTTATGACACTTACCAAATGAAATTCAGTATCTGCGCTGGATATCTCTATCTGTAAGTCCGATCAACACTTCAAAATCAATATATCAAAAACTGAAGTAATCACCTTCCTCCTAACACCACTTCTTCTATATTCTCATCAGTTGCTGTAAATTATACCACTATGCTCACAGCCACCAAAGTTCATAATATCAAAATCGTCTTTGACTCTTTCATGTCCAAAACAGCACACATATTCATTCAGATACCAGGTCTTATTACATCTCCAGTATATCTTTCTCCTTTGGTTTCTCTTCTCCATTCTCATTAAAACAACTTTGGCCAAACCTTCATTATTTCTTATTTAGACTATTGTTATAGCGATATAAACAGTATCCCTATCTATCTACTTTTTCATCTTTGTACCCCTTGCAAAGTTACCTTCTGAAGGGACCATCTCTCATTATATTTCTCTAAACAAAAGTCTTCTGTAACTCCCCAGTGCCTACTAAATAAAGAAGAAAGTCCTGATCCTGGCTTAGGAGGCCCTTCATAATCTGGTTCCAACCTATCTTTCCAGTCTTGCCTCTTACAATTTCCCTTTACCCACCTACATTCTAACTAATCTACTACTTATTTTCCAATATCCTTTCCCCCTCCAATGCACAATTGTGCTTCTTTTAACAATCTAGTATAGCCTACTTTTAATTCAGTTAACAAATTTTAACTATGCACTTACCATGTATTAAAAACTGTAACTACCAAGTATATGAAGACCAATAAATAAAAGGGGGGAAGGGAACTGTCCTTGTCCTCAAGGAATATATTTTCTACTGGATATCTCAAAGAGATCATGCAATTGTGAAAAGGACCCACATGTACAAAAATATTCATAGCAGGTCTTTTTGTAGTGGCAAAGAATTGGAAATTAAGAGGATGCCTATCAATTGGGGAATGGCTGAGAAAGTGTGGTGTATAAATGTAATGGAATACTGCTGTGCTATAAGAAATGATGAACACGCTGACTTCAGAAAAACCTGGAAAGATTTATATGGTCTGATGCTGAGTGAAGTGAGCAGAACCAAGAGGACTTTGTACACAATAACAGCCATGTTGTGTGATGACTAATGCTGATAAACTTAACCGTTCCCAGCAATACCAGGATCTAAGACATCTCCAAAGGCCTTGTGATGGAAAATGCTATTCCCATCCAAAGAAAGAACTATGAAATTTGAATGCAGATCCAAGCATACTATTTGCTTTTTTTTTTCTCTTCTGTTGAGTTTTGTTTCCTCTTTCTGGTGGTTCCTCCTATTGGTTCTAATTTTTACTTGCAACATCTTAAATCTGAAAATATGTTTAATAAGAATCTATATCAGATTGTGCACTCTCTTGGGGAGGGTGGTGGGGAACAAGGGGGAAAAAAATTTTAAACTCAAATGCATATGGAAATGATTGTTGATGAATGAAAATAAATTAATTAAAATATTCTCTACTGGATAATATTACATTTACAAAGATAAATAAAAAACAAAATTGTACAAGGTAAAGCAAAATAATGCCTAAATGAAGTTGATGTCAGTAACTTGAGTAATCAAGATATATCCTATTTAGGAGGAAACAATTTAATTTGTACTTTGAAGTAAATAAGAATTTAAAGAAACATGGTTACATGTAGACATAGGAAGCAGTCTATGTTTAGATAGTAAGGCAGGAGCAGGGAAGACAATTGAAGCTAGTAGGACAATTTGACTGGAACTAAGAATGTAAGAAGGAGAAAATACAAACCTGACAAAGTAAGGACCCATTATGAAAAATCCACAGAGAAAACTGATGAACTCTGAGTGCAGACTGAAGCAAACTTTTTTTTACTTTATTTTTCTTGCCTTTTTGTGTGTGTGTGTGTGTGTGTTTCTTTTCTTTTACAACATGGCTAATATGGAAATATATTTTGCATCTTCAAATATATAATTGACATCACATTGCTTGCCTTCTCATGGGGTACAGGAAGGGCTAGAAGGAAGAAGAGGTTTTTTTTAACTAAAAAATTGTTAATTTTTAAAATGTTATTGGGAAACATTTAATAACATATGCCTGTATGTACTTGTGTGTGCATGCATGCATGCATACATGCATGTATGTATACGTATTAAAGAATGAAAGTTATCTTGGATATAGAGATTGTTTTATTTCTCCTTGTATTCCCAATGCTTAGCACAGTACCTGGAACACAGTGATCACTGAATAAATGTTTGTTGACTGATTGTAGCACACTTTGGAAAATATGAAAAGCATTCTAAAATAATTTAGACATAAACACTTGGACCATACCAATTTGTAAGCTGTCCAGTCTATATAGTATAAATCTAGGAATGTCTTCATTGTAATGGCAGTCTGCTTCTGAAAGAACATGAATATATATAGCAGATGGTTTAATGTACGACATATTTTACTATTGGCTAAGTCATTCTCTACTTTAGTTTCATATTGGAGAATGAGGCTAGTTATACCTTTCTCTATCTTTATCTCCTTGGATATTTGAAGAGACAAGAAAAAGCAAACAATGGCTTATGTTTCCTGGAAGAAAACTATGACATTATTATTGTTATGTGTTCTTAATGTTTATTTTCATCAAACACATTGTCCATTTTTACTGAGTACATATTATCTTGACAAACATCATGGCATACAATATAGAGGCTAGCTTTAGGTAAGAAAGTTCTGGGTTCAGGTTGTGCTTATGACACATCCTGACTGTGTGACCTTGAATGAAATACTTAACCTCTTAATTTCTCTGACAAATTTCTAAGATAAGTTCAAAATGAGTTGCTGATCTGCATCAGTGGAGGAGGGTATGGTATAGAAAGGTTCCAAACTGGGAGTTTTCTACCCTGAAGAAATGGCCTATGACCTTATGTTTTATATCTATTACTACTTCTTACTCTTATATTAAAATTGGATATGAAAAAGTCTAAACTTAAAAAAGAGACAATTAGATGGCTATCAATGTTATATTTTTAAGAA